TGGATTCTGGATAAACAATGCAGAATGACTCACCCAGCAAAGTCACATGGGTAAAGGAGGCAACAGCCACAGTGCTGGATGTGTCCTCTCAGTTGATTGTTTTAGAAAAATATCTCCAGTAAGAAAAATTAACTTTCCTTGATATGGTGAGTAACCACATACAAACATTATTCTTTGACCTCCAGAGTTCATCACCCCCTGAAAAGAGAAATTAGTTCGTGATCTTCCGTTAACTCAGTGAGTCTTCAATGGACCAATGAAAAACACCTTTGTAACTGACTTCATCCTCTGCTGTAAAAATAGAGAATGGGGGCACAGACCAGATGAACCGCACTCACTTGTTGGCACAAAAGTGGAAAAATGATAAGACACTGACATAGGATGAAGAACAGGGCACCCACAGGCACTGGCAGCCATCCAACAACTGATGTGCATCCACCAACTAAAAAAAAAAACCAAGGAGGGGCCCAGTGGATGTGGCTCAATTGGTTTAGCATCATACCATGCACCAAGAGGTTGCTGGTTGGATTCCTGGTCAGGGCACACACCCAGGTTGTGGGCTCGATCCCCAGTAGGGGGCAGGAGGCAGCCACCTGATGTTTCTGTCTCATCCATGTTTCTATGGGGAGAGAGGCAATTCTAACAATTTGAGCAAATTCCAGGAGGCACAGCACTTGAACCTATATAAGTGAGCAGAAAGATATAAACAATACAACAAATCCTTGAAAAAGTTTCCATTCCCATGTGTCCCTCCCTTCCTCAACACACACACACACACACACACACACACAGTAAAATGTACTCTTCACCAAAAGAGGTATTTCAATGTGGAGGTGTAAACCCTTTAAAAACCTAGATTTTCTTGAGTCAGATCCAAGGATAGGTGGAAGGAGGCAGGGCCCAGGCAAGTATGTCCCAAAAAATTATTTAATGACATTACTAGATATCCATAGCATATTCTCTTTGAACTTCCCTAGTGACTACATCCTGTTGACGTCCCCTGGAGTCACTCCAGGGTTGTTAGAAAACAGTCCAGGCTACCCTGGGTCAGATTGGTTTCAGAATGACCTCGGAGCTAAAGTAGATATAATGACCTTGCTATATCCTCCACAAAGGGAGGGTTAGCGTAGGGAGCTCTTTAGAATTGTTTTTCAATTCTATTAAGTTTAGCCCTTACAGATGCTCCATAATTGTTCACTTGGCACCTTTGTGGTGCATGAACTTGTCCTTGTGGCCACCGAGTACAATACATAGAATTCTCAGTTGTTTTTCAAATAACTGAGAGGAAAGAAATTAAGAACTCTGTTACAGAGCAACAGTTTATGTTGTGTGGGTGGGAGGGTATGATGTTTAAAGAGGATAGCAAAGCACAATCTGCATATTGTGAGTCCTCCATACAGAGTGAACTCAGTTGTCCAGCAGAACAGAAGCAGTGTTAACACACAACATAGTGCCATGCGCAGACAAGGCCACCATTTATGTCTCCTATTCTAACCTCTCCACTGAACTCAAGACTTACATGTCACACTATCTTCTTGACTGCTCTACTTAGATACCTATCAGTCATTGCAAACTGTCCCAGTCCAAAAGCAAACAACACCCCCAAACTTGCTAGTTTCCCAATCTTCATTATGCCAGTAAACCAGGTGTTCATTTATCCAGTTGCTTGAACAAAAATCTGTGGAGTCATCCTAGACTTTAATTTTTCATATATATAGTCAGTGTATTAAAAAAATTCTTCCAAAGTTCACTACTACTATTCAGCTTCACCCCCACCATCCCCGTTCAAACCACCATCATGGTGTCCCAGCACTATCAAAATAGCCTCCTGTCAGCCTGCTTCTTACCCTTGAATCCATCTCTTACAGCAGCCAGGATGATGCTATTCAAATGTAAGTCCAGTCATGTCATTCCCCTCGCTCAGTACCCAGCAAGGGCTTCCCATCACATTCCACGCAACATCAAAAATCTTAGCATGTCCTACAAGTCTTCACTAGCTCCTGAGGCCTCTCTGAAGACACCTCTGTACCTCCTCACCACCCTATCTCCCATCCCTGTTATTCCTTCCTGCCCTGGGCTGAACTTAAGTATTCCCCAAGTACACTCCCTTTTCATTCTTCTTCCATTAGTTATGGCTCACTCCATCACTTCTCTTAGATGTTTGCTCAGACAAACCTCATAAAAAAGACTTAACATTGCTGCTTGAATCGACTCCTCCATTTCAATTTTAACTCTAACCATTGCCCAGTTTTACTCTTTCATATTGCTTTACTATTAACATTATACATTTATATAGTGTGTATTTTGTTTGTTCCTTTTCAAATCTAACATCTTTACTAGAACACTGGCTTCATCAAATATTGGGGGAGGGGAAGGGGGGATTTCACTCAGCTGTTGCCAGTACTTAGAACAGTGCCTGGTCATACTAGTGTTCAGCCAGTACTTATTGAACAAATATAGGAATGATTCAGGTGATCAAGCTGGTAATTATTAATCGGCCTCTGTGTTTAAGGCATGGCGCAGCTGGTTAAACTGTAGTTTCCAGGTGGGAATGCAATCTGTAAGACAAAGATGCAGTCATAACATTTTGGTGTGCTCCATGTCAGCGGTTGCCAACCAGTGGTCGGACCATTGGTGGTTCATGAGGTCCGAAAGGTTGGCGACCGCTGCTCCATGGGATACAAAATATGTTTTTGCTGCTTAAACAAATTAACTAAAACCATTAGGTTCTCTTAGTAATTTGTAGTTGTTACCTAACTAGTCATTTGCTACCCTATACAAGTAAAGTCAAAGTTTTGGGTGACTCAATCTCACATTCAAAAAAGACAGCAGACATCTGAAAATGCAACAAAGGTGTCAGAGATTTGAAAATGTATGTACTGGCATTAAGGGAACATGAAGGACTATAGATGGGTAGTTTCCATATCTGATGAACCTCTTTGATCATCCATCATGTTCTTCATTTCATTTTATACTCCATTGCATTCTGCATTTGTCATTTCAACCCGCAAGTTTGGTATAATTTTTTCCTTCACTCTTTTTCTTTGCCTCTTGCATCTCTTCATAGTTGCCTTCCCCTAATGAAGGTTTCCAAATATAACCTAGCTGACCAGTCCCCTCTCTACCCTTACTGAGTGCCTTAATCCTTGCCAACTTCCCTTGAACTGAAATTTTTCCAAGAATCTGGTATCTTCTCTGAAAGCTCACGGATATTTAAACTGCATATAAATACCATCAAAGCTATGAGATAATTAGTTTCCAAATTTCTACCAAAAATGCTTCCCTCAATCTCCTCCAAAATACTTTGAGAACTTCAAACCAATAAATATTTTAAGAGCATGTCTGATTTAGAAAGGATCATATTACATTTTTAAAAATTACAAAAAGATACCAAAGCATTATTTTCTCCCTTGGTCTTTCTGCCTTGGATCTTGAAGATGTTTAAAGGCCTTTTACCTGACATGTTAAAGGCATAGAAATATGTTGAATTACTGTGCCCACTGGATGTCCTTAACCTGACTGACATCTGGAAAGCAACTGAGTCAGCATGACATGACAGGGCTACGCAAGCTTTAACAGTGGTTCTCAACCTTCTGGCCCTTTAAATACAGTTCCTCATGTTGTGTGACCCAACCATAAAATTATTTTCATTGCTATTTCATAACTGTAATGTTGCTACTGTTATGAATCATAATGTAAATATTTGATATGCAGGATGGTCTTAGACAACCCCTTTGAAAGGGTCGTTCGAGCGCCAAAGGGGTCGCGACCCACAGGTTGAGAACTGCTGCTTTAGAAGGATCTCAAATACAGCTGGCCGATTCCCCTTAGCTGAAAATCGTCTATTTTTCTACCAAACTCAAACATGAAATGTGATTTTTGTAACCTTCATCATTGTAGCCTTGCATTGTGGTCAGATATGCACTGACCTGATTTCCCACCACCTGCCCCTTGTGCTAGATTATAAAGTACTTAGAGCCTATCTGCTTAATTAACCTTTTCTCTGAAGCATATACTATGGTGGCTGACATTAGTAATAGCTCAATAAATGTGGATTAAATAAGTAAATATTAACTAAAATTTTCATTCAAAAGAACTATTATGTACCTTTAAAAAGTTATTTATTTTAAAAATAAAAAACCTGTGCTGCTAGAAGTGTCTAAGATAATCAATGTAGCTTCTCCCATAAAAAAAAGGTTATTTTTAAATATATTTTTATTGATTTCAAAGAGAGAGAAATATCAATGATGAGAGCGAATCATTGATTGGCTGCCTCCTGCACACCCCACACTGGGGATCGAGGCCACACCTGGGGTATGTGCCCTGACCAGCTATGGAACCAGGGAATCGAACCCTGACCTCCTGGTTCACACGTCTATGCTCAACCACTGGGCCTGGGCCACCCCAGCCAGGCTTAACCATTCAGGTGTTTAAGACTTTATAGTCAGAGGGAACGGGAACAAGGAAGTTATACTCGGCAAAAGATCAGGCTGTTTGTTACAAGGTTACTTTTCTTCAGGGTAGTGTTTTCCATCCGCGTGTCATGGCAGGCACACTGGGATGTGGCAAGAATTTTTAAAGCATCTGCCTAATCTGCCTATCTAGTCAGGGGCACTGACCTCTTTTCCCTTAGACCAGAGGTTCTTAACCTTCCTAATGCCGCGACCCTTTAATACAGTGCCTCATGTTGTGGTGACCCCCAATTCCATTGTTACAAATTGAACACAATTAAAGCATAGTGATTAATCACAAAAACAATATGTAATTATATATGTGTTTTCCGATGGTCTTAGGCGACCCCTGTGAAAGGGTCGTTCCACCCCCAAAGGGGTCGCGATCCACAGGTTGAGAACCGCTGCCTTAGACTGTCAAATAAAAAAATCATAACAGCCAACACAATAATAGTTGTCTGTATCAGAATTATACCTATTTTGACTTTCGCCCAGTGGCCTTGGTTTCCACCCCTGCGGTTTGGGGGGCAGGGGGCGGGGGAGGGGGGGCTGCCTTGGCCGGGAGGTGTGGCCCGAGCTGCTGCTGAGTTTCCTAGCGAAGCGGGGAGCCTTCTCCCGGGCTGGACTGTCGCCTGGGTCTCCGAGGGCAGAGTTGGCTGAGCTGGACGCTGACGTCTTCTCTCTCCGTCTCATGCTCTGACTAATCTTTTCCAGGTGTCTGACTTCAGCCCGTTGGAGTCCTCAGCTAAGACCGCGGCCATGCCGGTGACGATGACATCCTCTTCGGGCTCCCCGAACATCCTGGGGTCCCCTGAGGTTCTGTGCCGCCTGCTCCAGCTGCTTTCCACCTGCCTGGCCTTCTCGCTGGTAGCCAGCGTGGACGCATATGTAGGGTTCTCGGGTGACTGGTGCATGTTCGCCTGGTGCTTCTGCTTCGCCGTGACCTTGATCATCATTGTGGTGGAGCTGGGCGGGCTCCAGGCTCCCTTCCCGCTCTTCTGGCGCAACTTCCCCATCATCTACGCCTACTACGCCACCCTCTTCTGCTTCTCGGCCTCCATCATCTACCCCACCACCTACGTCCAGTTCTTGAGTCACGGCCGCACCAGGGGCCACGCCATCGCCGCCACCGTCTTCTCTTGCATCGCGTGTGTGGCTTATGCCACTGAGGTGGCCTCGACCCGGGCCCAGCCCGGTAAGATCACAGGCTACATGGCCACCGTGCCAGGCCTGCTCAAGGTGGTGGAGACCGTCGTGGCCTGCATCATCTTCGTCTTCATCAGCGACCCTTACCTGTACAAGTACAAGCCGGCGCTGGAGTGGTGCGTGGCCGTCTATGCCATCTGCTTCATCCTGGCCACCGTGGCCTTCCTGATGAACCTGTTCGACTTCACCAACGCGCTGCCCATCCCCTTCCCCAGCTTCCTGTCCGGCCTGGCCCTGCTCTCCGTCCTCTTCTACGCCTCGGCCATGGTCCTCTGGCCTCTCTACCAGTTCAACGAGAGGTACGGCGGCTTCCCCGAGCGCAGGAGGGATTCCCTCTGCAGTATCAGCCACGTTAACTACGTGTGCGCCTGGGACCGCCGCCTGGCCGTGGCCATTCTGACGGCCATCAACCTGCTGGCCTACGTGGCTGACCTGGTGTACTCGGCTCACCCGGTCTTTGTCTGAGGCTGTCCCGGAGCTCCCGATGCCCTCTTCTCTGAGAGGATGTCTCTACTGGGTTCTGATCTCCGATGTCCTCCCCCTGGGGCTCCTCTCCCATTTCTGTCTTCTGCTCTCCCCTGTCCGGTACTCTCTGTCCCCATCCCTTCCTGCGTCTTTGGCTGCCCACACCCTGTGTTGCCTTTCTGTCCTCTCTCTCTCTCTCCTTTCCTCCCTAGTGGGTTCTTTCCTGGCGATCCACCCTGTTTGCTTTCTCACCTGCCTTGTTTCCTGTACTACTTCTTCCCACTTCCCTTCTTCTGCTTTCCTTGGGAGCCCTGGGACTTCTTGGTCACCCCCAACTCCACCCCAACTCCAAAGGTGCTAAGCTCCACACCCCACATAGCAGCTGGTCAGACCCAGGCCCCCTGAGGTGCCTCATTGCCAAAGCCTGTGCCCATGCTGGCTGTGCCTTAGTAGGTGTGTGTGTGTGTGTGTGTGTTCTGGGGATGGGAGGGTAGCTAGGGAGGGGGACCCTTTTCTTATAGTGGAAGTATAATAAAGCCTCCCCTTTAAGTAAAAATAAAAATAAAATAAAGTAAAATAAAGAAAAAGGAAAATTATACCTATTTTTTGTCAGACCAGGAAAAAATATTATATATATATATATATATATATATATATATATATATATATATATATATGTATATATATA